AGGAATGGACTTGGCTGATTTGTAACAGAGCTGCAGTTGCCCAATGCTCTGGTGTGCACTGTGAATATAAACTGCTCCATGCTTTTTAAATGTTGTAGGTGCATAGAGCACCATTTCAAACAGCTCCTCCATCCAAGGAATTACTCCTTGTAGGTCGGAGCCCTGGAAATCCCCACAGTAAATTCTCTGTCTGGGAGAGGGGACTCTGCAGCTGGAGCTCCTGTCCTGCACTGAAGAGTTTTCCCTAATCCTGTTAATCATAAACATTGGAAAAATAGAGAAAAGAGTATTTCAAAAAGCCAAATGACAAGTTGTTTCTTCTGCCAGCCTGTATATTACAGCTTTGTGTAAAATGTACAGGGTAAATAATAATAGATTGTCAAGCACTTCAAAGTGAGTTCATTAAGTTTATTTTTAAGTTGTATTGCTGCATTCAGTAGCAAGTTGTGTCAGATTCTGATAACTTCCTTTAATGTAGGTTCTCAGTCCTGTGACAGGCAATACAAAAAGCATAAATCTGCATGGAGAGCCTTTCTGTGGGTCCTCTCCTTGTCTGGCTCACTTTGTACTTGCTCACTCATGTTGAGAGGATGTGCTGGGTATTTTTATGTGCACAGAACCTCCTGTCAAAGGATTTGTCAGACAAGAAAATTGGAATGGCTTCACACAGCTCTTCTTGGCCCAGTGACCCACCTGGTCGGATTTCCAGTCACCGTCACCAGCAGGATTCCAAAGGTTTCCCAACAGCCCTGGCCTCTATTGAAAGTACAATCTTAGTTCTCATTGCTGCTGGGGAGGAACATCCCTTTTCTCCGCAGGTTCTGAGAACTGATTCCTAAAGAGTTTGGTTTCAGTCTGGCCAATTCCTTCTGGTTCTGTGCTACATTGCACTGAAGCTTTTACAGTGTGTGTTACTGTATCTCACTGGTTCAATAAAAAGCTCTGCACCTTTAGCTGTGATCAGCACAATGGCATCAGTGTTAGAGTAGTTAATTGGTTTTTACTTGGCAGCAAATGCTTTTGGTAGAGCAGCACTGTAACCCAGGTAGTCTGTCGGGAAGAGCAGGACACTTAAAAATCTTCAGTGTTCTAACTGAAAATCCTTTTTGGGTCTATATTTCATACTGACTACTAGCAGTTTTCTTCCTTTTGGGAAATAAAAAATTAAGTCTTCAGTTGGAATTAAATTAGGCTGTCTTCAGATTCAAAACCACTAGGATGTAACTGATTCTTTTGAATGTCAGCCACTTAATTAGAAATGCTGGTTTCTTCTGAGAAATGAGAGGTGCTTCTTAAACACAGGGATGAGGCAGCAGAGATCACTTCTTCCTGTGGTAATAAAGTACATGGAGAGAATTTACACATTCTTTATTTCAGCAGTGTTGAGGCCACAGTTCTAAAGCACGACGTAATCACGATTTTATCATCTAAGAGTGCTGAATACCCAATTCAGGCTTTGGGCATCTCAGGGAGATACATCAAGCTGGAATAAAGCCACATGCCTTGACTAAGCCTAGTTGTGTTGTGCAGATTGACCTTAGCTGAGGATCTGGCCCTTAACTGTTCAAAAGTGTGAATGTGCTCAAAATTGTACTTTTTAATACTGCCCTGTGTCCTGTGCTGTGTTCCCCTACTGCTGTATGTGGTTAATTATTTGCATTGTTTAATTTGCAACTTGTTTGTAGATTTCAGCATAAAGATTGTTTTCTTTTTAAGATTATGTAGGAGCTTATATTGTATGTGAGTTTGTTGCATTCTGTACCTTCAAGGTTTACATCCCTCAAAAGCCATTTTGTCTGCTACACAAACTGCTGTAATCCTTCAAGTACCTCCAGCCATCTTCTCTTTCTGGGATTTTTGTAGTTAAACAGAATGGATTTTTATTTTTGTAGCTTGTAACTTCAGTATGTATAGTAGTTGTTTAGTAAGTAGTGATCAGAATACTGTAAAATGTTGCTTTTAAGAGCTGTAAATTTAATTAGTAATTACTATTTACAAGAAGATATCAGCATGTTAACAGTTTAAAAAAATACTATTTAGCTGCACATGCTGTGATGCTGCCACATGGGATTTATATTGAATGTGTTTGTGTATATGTTTTAAAGTGGCACTAAAGAAGGAAAATATGAGCCTAAAGTGCAAGAAATAGCTCAAAAAATAGAATTCATAACATTTTAGGTAGTTTTCAATTGAGAAAGGTGACATTTGGGGTTCAGTATTTTTTTATTTTCCACCAGGCAGTAAGGAGTGACCACTGCACTCTTGGCAGATCAGTTGTTTCCTTATGGTGTAGTTTGAGATCTGTGTTTAGTGTCTGCACCATTCCTGCCCCTCAGAGAGCAAAACCCCAGAGCAACCCCACAGCTCTCAGCTGTACAGTATGTGAGGTCTTACTTGCCATGAAAGAACCAGTTAGCGTGATTTTGAACCTCTAAAATAAATGTTTAAATCCAAATTGGTAAATTTTTGCTTGGCATCAAGCCATGTTTTCAAACCCCAAACTGGTTTTCCTTTGGTTTTGAAGAGAAGGCAGGTTGAAATGGAAAGGTAAGAAGGTAACCCTGTAAAAGTAATAGTTATAAAAGCAGAGACATCTGGTTTTATTTGCTGCAGAGGCAGAGTGAGCGTGCTTTTGGCTCATACACATTTGTGATGGTCGGTGCAGTGGTTACATGGGCACAATGTGTGATTTGGGTCAGGTTCTGCCTGAGAAGCTGCAGCTTCAGTGGAGCCACAGAACTGCCCTGTCCTGTGGTTACTGCACATTAACAGGGGAAACTGAACGCTTCAGTTGGTTGTACCATGGCCTCTCTCTGTGACTTACATTCCCTAAAATTCTCTATTGAGAAACATCTGCTCCATATTCTTCATAAACATTTGTAAATACAGATTTTTCCCAGCACTGGCTGTTACTGAATTTCCTAATGCATCTGTTTGTCTTCTTGTTTGTACTGTTCCTCTGTAGATTTAAGGGCGTGGATTAAAGTATTTAAACTCAGCTTTTTCTTTTCCTTGCAATGCAGAAAAACAAATGTGAGTCTTCAACTCTGCAACAGCCCCGGGATGAGGATGTCTGCCTGGCTCTGGGAGGGCTGCAGCAGGATGAGCTTAGGCATTTTGAGAACAAAGTTGAATTTTGTTCAACTCTGTGGCCATGCTACTGCTCGAAATTCCTGGTGAAAAATTTGAGCATCTCAAACCTCAACAGATGGGAAAAATTCTAGACAGCATAGTAATGTCATCTGGAGATAAAACTAACACTGGTAACCTGCAAAGACCACAACAGCTGTTTGCCTGCTCCGGTTCCTTCTCCACCCCGGGCAGGAGCTGAGGTCGTGTGGCTTTTCAGTAGGTGTGGTTAAAATCGTTTGAATTCCCAGGCTTCAACAGTAATGTGAAATGTCCATATTGTTCCTTCTCACCTCTGTTGCCACTGATTTGGGGATCTTAAAACAGCTTCTGATGCTGCACATTATTTACTCGAAGCGGGGAAGGAGCCCTGCAAATGCCTTACCTGTGATGAGCAGTTTCAAATAAGAGTTTTAACAGGAGATGTTTTGGTGTCGGTAGAAACTGGAGATGGGGCAGGAGGTGCTGCTGAGAGCAAATCAGCAAAACTCCCACGGGGCTTTCCCCAGCGAGGGGAAACGCTGCTGCCAGGAGACGTTCAGGGATCAAGTGGCTCAATGCTTTCTCCTGATGGCAGCAGATGGGTTCGTTTGGGCTTTTGGAAGTGAATAAATCCTCCTGTGGGGCCACTTTATCATAGTGTCAGTTCCCTCCCCAGGTTCTCTCCTCTGTTCCCTGGTCTCATTTGCACAAAAGAAGAAGGGCTCTGGCCTCTCAGCTCCTGTATTATGCCACAATCAAACCTTTTAAGGACTGTTTGTGTGTTGTTTTCCATTCAGGATGGGGTCAGAGCATAGATAATCATTTTTTTTCTTAGATGAGTAAGACAATAGTTTCACAGAGTTTTCAGGATCACTGACACTAATGCTGATAACCATCAAGGTTTAATACATCTTTAAATGGTTTTAGAATTGCTGGTGCGAGCCGTGCAGAGCACCAACTTGAGCCAGACTTTAGCCAAAAGTTGTGCAAGGAGTCACAGCGCAGGTATGTGTGTGAAAGAACACAGGACATTAGCAAAGTGCAAGTCAAGGCTGAGAGTCTGTTTTTCTTTTGATAATAACAGTAAAAATACAAAGTTTTTGTGAATGAACAGTGAAGTGGGTCAAAATAGGATTCAAGGAGTGTGGTATCAGACACTTGAGGACTAAAGCTCTGTTTTCAGGGTCTCTCCTGTAACAAATTTATTTTCCTCTTCGGGAAAATCCCTCCTTGCAGAGGGGCTGCAGGCAGACTGCCTGTGCATCTGTGGGCAATGTGAGAACACGCTGGTAACCGCAAGGTAACAGATGGCCGGAGGGTCCTGGTGACCGCGGGCGCTGAGTGCGGGACAATGCCCTGCGGATCCCGGGATGTGCCACCCAGCCGTGCCGAGCGCCATTGTCCCCGCCGGCCGCGAAATCCCGATTCCACGCTTAGGAGCTGCAGAAAGGAGCTTCGCTCTCCCAGACCTGCAAAAGAGCATCTCCCCATGTCGTTCATTGAAAATATGGAAAGGGCAATGCATATAGAAATCTAATTATTGGCAGGCACAGCCCGGTTTTTAGCATGATAATCGTGGGCCCCGGAGCTTTCTTGTGCACGGACCCTTGAAAGATAATCATGAAAGCAGAAATTAAAACGATTGAATTTCCATCATTCATTCAAAATGCGCTTTGATTATGTTGACACGATTTTTGTTTGTTCCTACACCGCGATGAGAAACTGTTATTAATCACTTCTAAATATTTCCGAGACAAAAGGGGGCTGCCCGGGACGGCCGGGAGAGGGAAGGCTGAGGGCGCGGTGTCCCCGCTGTCCCCGGTGCTGGGGGCTCTCCCCGCGGCGCTGCCGGGGCGGGGGAAGGAGGAAGGAGGAAGGGTCGGTGCCAGGCGCGGCCGCCGCCCCCGGACCCCAAACCCACCCCCTTCCCTCCGCCGCCCTTAAAGGCCGAAGCGCGGCCGGCCGAGCCGCCGGCCCATGGCCGCGCTGAGGGGCCCGCCCGGGCTGCAGGCCCTGCTGCAGGCCCTGCTGCAGGCCCTGCTGCCGGCCCTGCCGGCCCTGCTGGCCCTGCTGCTGCCGCTGCTGCCGCTGCCGGCCCTGCTGCCGCCGGCGGGGGCGTCCCGCCCGGGCAGCGCCGACCGCTGCAGCTGGAGGGGCAGGTGGGTGCGCACGGCCGGGCCCGGGGGACACGGGCACCGGGAACCGGCCCCGGGAACCGGCCCCGGGAACCGGGAACGGGGGGAGCGGCCGCGACCCGCGGCGCTGGCTGCGGTGCCGCCGTGCCTGGTGGGTTTACTGCAGTCACCGGCAGGGAGATGGACCACAAATGTTCTCAGTATTCTCAAATACTGCAACCTTTCCCACTATGTTTTGTTGCCTTTTTACTTTTCTTTTAACTAATTATGCTGGCACGGATTTGACTTTCATAAGTGATCTCAGCTAAAGTAACTGAGAGTTACTGAGAGAACTAAAGTTCTGAAAGCAGTGGAGTTGCTCAGGCTTGAGCGAGAGAGCTTGGGAGAGGGCTTGGGAGCAGGGCCAGCACCACCCTTTTTATCAAAAACGTTTTCTTGATGAGTTTATATTAGAAATATTAAAAATAACTTTAGAAAGTAGATCTTTAAACCAAATTTTTCAGGCATAACATTGCTGTGCAGTTCTTGCTGTGAGTCAGTGGCTCTCACCCCCATCCACACACTCACAGGTGGGATTTTCTGGACAGCTAAGCAGTGGCCAGTCGTACCACAAGGAAAAGTTTTGAGCTGTTTAGCAGTGAGAAGTTGCCCTCTGACATTTCTCTGGGTGCTGCAGACATTCGAGCATGGATCTAGTGAAAGGGACTGAGGCTCCTTCCCGTGCAGCCAAGCTGCGAGCATTCCCTGTCCTCTATGGCTCCTGCATGGTGTTGCAGTTCAGATCCGAGGGGTGGGAGGGAAGGAACCCAGTTAAGGTGGAGGAAGCCAGTTTAAGGGATATTAGGAGAGTTAGGAGTAAGATCTGTATGGCCAGGGGGTGCGTGGTGAAGTGGCCTTCTCTCTTCCTCCTTTTCCTTCTCTTCCCCTCCCTTCCCTCTGCTGTTACTGACTGCCATGGTGTCTCCTGGCAGTGGTTTGAGCTGGGAGCCCCGCTCCCGTGCCGTGGAGCAGGTCCACCTGCGCTGCACCGTGGGCTCCCTGGAGTGGATGTACCCAGCACGAGCCCTGCGTGTGCTCCTGGAGCCCAACCTGGCCAGCGCCCAGCACACCACGGTCTGCATCAAACCCGCCAGCGACTTCCAGGGCGCCAGCATCTACGTGGAACGTGCTGGGCAGCTGCACCTGGTGGTAAGCGAGGCAGAGGGGGCTCGGCCCCGCCACGTGTCCTGCTTCAGTGCCCACAGCCCACGGGGAGTGGCCCTGTTCCTGCAGGCCAGCCCGCAGAGGGACATCAGCCGCCGCACCGCCAGCTTCCAGTACGAGCTGCTGAGCAACCAGAGCGCCGCCGGCCCCGACCTCAAAAAGATGGCTCTGGCTGAAGGTAAGAACAGGGGCTCCACTTGTGGGGCAGATCTGAGGTGGCAGCTGATCCCCATGGAGCTGGTACATCCCTGGTGACAGAGGCTGTTTTGGTATTGCAAAGGAGGCTCTTCTGCCTGGCAGTGCCCTCGCTGAGAACATCCTCTGTGCTTATTTCTTTGCTGTGGTGGTATTTGCGTAACAAGAATTTTGGTTTGTTTCTGATCACAGTGCTCTTCAAGCTGGTAGTTCTGCCCCATTTCCCCTCTGAATCCACCAGTCCTTTTGCAATGGGATGTACTATAGTATTATAAATAACTGCTCTGTTTTTTCTAGCTATGTGCCGTCCATGTGACAACATGGAACTCCTTATGGCCATTTGCAGCAGTGATTTTGGTAAGTTGACTAAAGGGAAATCATTCTGCCTTTATATTGATTATTTGGGTTTATTTGCTGTTTTTCTTAAAATAATAGCATGACTGTGCTCTCTAATCTGGGAAAGAAACTGTTGAAAAGAATGGGGGGATGCAAAGTGAAACCTAGAAGGGAGAAGCTTTGCTGCCAAGGTCCAAATTTCCCGCAGGCAGAAAGGTTACGAACTAAAACTGAACTGTGAGAAATGCTCACAGGTGTGCTGCTGGCTCATAGGTGTAGCTGAGTCATGTGTGCAGATGTACACTCAGGTTGAACATGCTTTGTGTGGTCATTTTTATTCCCTTTGTCTGTATATTTTTTTATCCCAGTTATGAATCTGCCTTCTCTCTCCTCTCAGTTTGCACATTCCCCAGTTTTTTTATTATAGAGGCAGTGAGTTGTTTGCAACTTAGCTAAAGATTTCATGTGATTTAAACTTTCCTTCAGTGACATCCTGGTTAGGTTTCATCCCTTATGAGGGAATAGCACAGTTATTAGTCCATAAGAAAAGAAATAATAAGAAATAGTAATCTGATAATACATTATTTTCCTATCTTTTTATTAATGCAAGATAATTTTTTCTTTCAATTGTAATTTGTTAATTTTATTGCCACATTTTTCCACATGCACATTTGTACCTCTTTGATTACCTCAAACAGCTAAAGCTGTAGAACTGCCTCTCCACGTAGCCACAATTCCATTGCTGTAAATGTACCTACATAAATAAATAAAACTATAAACTCCGTATTCAACAATTAAAAATCTCACCAAATCACTGCTTTCCTACCAGAGCTCACTATATATTAAGGCTGATAAAATCAGACACCAGCATCACGGTGAAAATACAAAACCAGTGCAGAGCGTGCTTCCTTAAGAGTGCTCCACAGCTGGTAATTTTTATTCTCCTTCTAAACTAACTGGTGCCATCCAGCCTGTTGTCTGTCCTGGAGGAAGGTGGGGTTCCCAAGGCACTGTCCCCACCAGAGACTGACAGATGTGGGGGCCCAGGCACACAAAGGGGGCACTCACACTCACAGCAGCAGCAGCCCAGAAGGAACAGCCCTTTGAACTGACTCTATTTATGGCCTGACTTCCTTGCCCTGCGCTCACAAATCGCTATCATCAGCTTTTTTGATTAGAGAAAATAGCTGCTAATGAAAGTGTAAATGACACTGGCAGTGAATGGGGGCTTTATGGTTGTCCTTAGCATGGGGGTCTGCAGTCACTGCAACCTGGACCACCAGGAACAAGTGCATTATAGCTTGTCTATAGACTTGACTGCATCTGATTAAAAATGGTCACACAAAGAGGGAGACAGAGAGCAGAGACATCTGTTACACAAAATTCTGTATTCCCTTGGAAATCTAAATAAATGGGGAAGTTCTTGAAAACTTCTGAGATAAGGTTTTTCTGCATCTTGGATTGTTGAGTTTGCTGTACAAGAGTGAAGGAGTTTAGTGGTAGGAGGGTGGTTTTGTAACCTCTCACTTGCTGAAGAGCTCTTTCTCAAATGGTGAATGTTTCTAAGCTTTCTGTGGATGTGGGATTGAAATTAATTTAATTAGTAAAAGAATAATTGATTGCTGTGGAAAATGGGGGCAGTGACAATGATAAAGGTGGCTTCAGGATAACAAACACCTGTCAGATGGGATGCTTCATTCTCCATATGATGGATCCAAATAATGCTTTCAAACAGAGACAATGGCTTCTTATGCTTTCCTTCCAGCTAGGACCCTTCTGGGAGAAGAAGGCGTATGTATGCAAAGTGGTTTTTAGATAAGGTTTCAAATAAAGTCAGTTTAAGAGTACTGAGTGTTGTTCATCATCTCCCAGTGTCTTTTGGTGGATGGATGACATTGTCTTTTGAGAGGGAAAAGAACCACTAAACATTTAAATGAAAAACATTTAATAAGCTCTCTATTTTTTTTCTGGCCAAATAATATTCTGATTCTTCTTGGATCAGCCTCTGTTCGTGCTGTGAAAAGAAAAGCTCCAGAGTTCCCTGGAATTAGGAAGGAGGCATCTGTGAGAGTCATTGTTTTGAAACAGAGACTGAAAAAAATTCATCCCTGAGCTGACTGCTTGTCGTGTGCTTTTTTATCCTCCACTACTTTTCATTTTCAAGTTCTTTCCCCTGGTGTAGCTGGTTTGAGTAGTCATAAAACACAATTCCAAGGACATAGCAGAGCTTGGTACGGGGATCTCCTGTGCAAAGGAGGCAGTGTGAGCTCAGAAATGTGTCCATGTGCAGGTGGTAGGTGTAAAAATTGCAAAGCTGCTCTCCACTTACTTCATTCGGTGAGCTTGTAGTACCTGCATTGTTCTCCTGCTGCTCCGTAACACCTCCTGTCTTCTTCACATCCAGTGCTGAAAGGATCCATCCAAAGTGTCTCCCATGACCCAGAGAACCACATGTCCCAGGTCGATGTCAGAGTCCAGAAGGTCTACAGACAGAAAAACCAGATTTTCCAGCAGGAGGAAGGGAGTGGGGAGTGGCGGGGCCCCATCCAAACCCTTCTTCAGTGCAAGGTGAAGAAGGGAGGGGGAGATTTCCTCTTCACTGGGAATGAACACTTTGGGGAAGCCTGGCTGGGCTGTGCCCCTCGGTTTAAGGATTTCATGTTGGTTTACCAGGCTGCCAGAGAAAGGGGAGCCAACCCCTGTGAGTTTGAGCTCAACTGACATGAGAGACACTGTTGCTGAGAGTTGGAAAATTTCAGTCCAATTTGGATACTGGATCTGGAGCAGAGTTAAAACCAAGGACTAAAGTTAACAATTCCACCCAAACTGGGACCTGGAGGATTTCCTGAAGACAATGGCTCTGTGAGCCCTGTGAGCTGATGTTTAATTCACATTAATTTCTCTTTCATCACATTTTCTTTGCCTCACAAAATAACTCTGGATTTTGGAAAGACAGTCTTTTGGGGAGGGTTAGAAAGCAGCCTGTGCTCAGTACTAGAAAAGTCTCTCTAACATCTCTTGCTCTGTGTAAATATTATGTGCTTTTTCTCAAGGTATTTTTCTCCCCTCCCCAGTCTCTGCTTGATTTCTCTTCCTTTAAAGTCAAATGTGAAAACTCTCTCTAACCTGGGAGGAAAAAACAACCTCTAAAGCAAAAAAAGCCCTTTATTCACCAAGAATTACTTGATTTTTAAAATGGAATGTAGATGCTGAAAAGTACATTCTCTTCTCTGACATTGAAAAAACATTAAGGAGTTTAATAGAAGCAGAAACAAAATGCAACTAAGTTGCCTCCTTAAAGTTCTGTTGAACTAATTTAGGATCAAGATGATGATATTTTCACCTAAATTATCTGCCTCTTTTCAATTAGCTTTTATTATTTGATTGGTGGTTCCTCCCACCCTCCCTTAGTGCTTTAGCCAGACTCACACAATTGCCTGTATTTATGTAAATGGAATTGCTACACCGTGAAATGATATACAAATGTGTCTACCACACAGAACCCAATAAATGGTGTGAATAAACCCATTATTTCCCACGTAATGGCATCTGATTGCAGCCTGGGCAACAGAGGGCTGACAGATGTGAGCCCATAACAGGCCCTGGAGAAAACTGAATGAGGAGAACTCTGACAGGCCACAATTAATTGACTTTTGGAATGACTCCTCTTTTCCACAGTTCTACTTGGCTGAGCAAGATTCACAAATTGCTGTCTTGAACTTTTTTATGGGACAAAATAGCTGCTAATGAAAGTCTAAATGACATGAGCTTTGAATAGAAGTCATACAATGACCACACTGTGACATGTTTTTAACTGACATTGATTATTTGAGAAGTAGCAGCACTTAATTGGGAGGGAATTAGGAAGGGGGGAAGAAATGGGAGTCAGAGGACTGGGTACAGAAATACAGTCTGTTAAACACTAACCAAATACAATTGTACTAAAATAGGGATAAACATCTTTACATATATTCACAGAGAGTACAATTTGGAGTCTACATCAGTTCTTTTTGCTTTGAAAAAGTGTTCACAAAGCTAAATCAAGAGGAAATGTCATTAGCAAGGAAGAAAACAGACCTTGTATGAATATCATCATGCTGACTTCCCTGGGGCCTCAGTACCTGCTCAGACCTCTGGCTGTAGTAACAGTCAAGCTTACACAGGCTAAAAATACCTCTTTGTCTGTCTTGGGAAACTGAGGTGAAGCTCTGGCAGACCTAATTGACCTCCTAATACTAGGGACATCATGGGACAAGTAATGAAGATGCGGATTTTTACCCCCTGTGGTTTTTGTAGTACCTATCATGCTGCTCAAGCAAGCAAGGTGATAGCAGTGTGTTAGACTGCCCTGACAGTCCCAAGGGAACCCTACACACTGACATCAGAAACCTGGGCTGGCGAGTTTCCTTTCCCAGGGAAAAGTGGAATTGTTTGTGTTCAGGGCCCTGTGGCCCTGAGGGTGTGGCTGACAGCAAAAAATCCAAACTGCAAGGGATGTGTCCCACACCTGAGCTGCCCCCACCTCAAACTGTGCTGCCCGGACAGTCCCAAGGGAGCCCTACAAACTGACATCAGGAAGCAGGAGTGGCAAGTTTTCATTCCCAGGGAAAACAGCCGGTGTTTGTGCTCAAGGCCCTGTGGCCCTGAGGGGGTGGCTCACTGCACAAAACTTTGAAGGGCGAAGGATGCGCCCCAGACCCCAGCTGCCCCCACCTCAAACTACTGAACTCTGTAAGTCTGCAAACTCTTCACTTATTTTCTTTTCCAAAACCTTCCTCAGCCCAACTCACTTGGAGAACTTTAGGTGGAAATGTTTCACTTGTTTCATGGATGTTTTGTTTGGGTTGATTTTTCAATCTGTTGAGGCACCAGAGCAGCTCCCTGCTGAATTGTTTTCCACTGGCCACATGCGGAGGCAGCAGCTTGCAATCCCACTGGGTAGTACCAGGAATCATCACCTGTTGCTGCTTCCAGGTGTAACTTAGGCTGGCAGATGCTGGATCTCACCTAAGGCTTTTTGG